CCCCCCTCCCAAGATCACTATTTTCACCCCCACACTTTCCAGAACGGTTCTACGTATACTGATCGGTGAAAGTCACCCGAGTGGTGATCCTTAAACAAATAAAGAGGTATTATGTCCCCTGACTACTGGCGAGGAATTAGTGAGAGGGACAACAGGGGGGTTGGGAAATAACGGTGTGTTGTGATCGGGGGATCAAAAAGGACAGGGGGGGGGGGTGTTATTCTCAAGTGGTCTGCGCTGTCTCTCTGTGGCCCCCATAAAACAAGTGGTTGGGAACCCTACTAGTGTGGTCAGCCCCTTCTACTTCTTTTTCTCTTGTTTTCATGTAAGTCTGTTGGTGGTTGGCGGGTGTTCCGGCATGGTTTGCTTCGCCTTTCGTTTCAAACAATGATCGTCCTTATCTCTCCTTCTTTTTTATGTTTATTACTCTCTTATAACATATGTAATCTCGGCACGCATAGACGCACATATGCACACACAGGGATACACGAACACACAGACATACATATGTGTGTGTGTGTGTGTGTGTGTGTGTGTGTGTGTGTGTGTGTGTGTGTGTGTGTGTGAGAGAGAGAGAGAGAGAGAGAGAGATAGAGAAAGAGAGAGAGAGACCTTTGAAGGGAATGTGTTTAATCCGATTTTTAGCAAACGTATTTTTATGTTCTGAGTAGTGAGTTTAAAACCAGTAGCTTTTTAGAAACATTTTCGTAACGTTTTTCCCTCCTTTCTCCTCCCCGCAGGATCTCAGTGCCTTCGCCATGCCGCTGATCGACTCTGAGGGCGGTGAGACCATGGCTGACGGCAGCGAACATGTGGGCCGACCCCGGTCTTCCTCTGGCTCCAGCGCCCTCAAGGGCCTGCTGGGCGGGAAATCCAAGGCCCGGAACAAGTCCTCCGAGCGAGAGGACAAAGACAAAAAAGACAAGGACAAAGACAAGAAGAAGGGTTTCTTCGAGTCGTTCCGCCCGCGCTCGAAATCCGACGTGTCCGGCCTGAAGCGACCCGGGAAGAAACCCGCCATCCAGATGGATCATTCGGTGGACGAGAGTGCCCTTCAGGCCAACCACAGGTCCTATGCCGGCGGCTCGCAGGAGGTGCTCACGCCCATGGGCCAGATCCTGGAGGGCCAGATGCTGAACGTGCCCGGGGAGGACCGCCAGCGCCATAAGTCTGGCCCCCAGGGTCTCAAGGACGCCAGCGCGGGTCTGCTGAGCAAGTTCCGGGCCAGGTCCAACTCGGACTCCAAGCCCAAGTCTCCGAGAAGGCCGCTCACCTCACAGGTCTGTCTGTCCCACCCTCTGTCCGCCTGTCTGTCCTACCCTCTACCCTCTGTCTGTCTGTCCTACCCTTTGTCTGTCTGTCTGTCCTACCCTTTGTCTGTCTGTCTGTCCTACCCTTTGTCTGTCTGTCTGTCTGTCCTACCCTTTACCCTCTACCCTCTGTCTGTCTGTCTGTCCCACCCTTTGTCTGTCTGTCTGTTTCCCCACCCTCTGTCTGTCTGTCCCACCCTCTGTCTGTCTGTCAATCCCACCCTCTGTCTGTCTGTCAGTCCCACCCTCTGTCTATCTGTGTGTCCTACCCTCTGTCTGTCTGTCTGTCTGTCCCACCCTCTGTCTGTCTGTCTGTCCCACTGTCTGTCTGTCTGTCCCACCCTCTGTCTGTCTGTCTGTCCCACCATCTGTCTCTCCGTCTGCCCCACCCTCTATCTGTCTGTCCAAGTGAGTGGTTGGAGGGCGCCACTGGTAGGTACAACTTCTTTACTTTCCCCTGTTGTTTCTGTCTGTCTTACTTTTTCCCCAGCACTAAATGACCATTATTGTGTCGATGTGCTTCCCTTTACTCAAACAAACAAATCTTTCAGTCCACCAAATGTCTTTCTATTGTCTGTCTGTCTGTCTGTCTGTGTGTCTGTCTGCCTCCCTACCCCCCTCCCCACCTCATACACATTGTTTGTCCATCCAGTGTCCGTCTCCCGCACACATACCCGAATACTATGTCTGTCTGTCCACCTGTTGTCTATATGTTCGTCTATCCACTTACCCCCCAGTGCGGTGCCACTGACTGAAGTGTCTTTAGACCGTTCCCAAAGGGGGGACATTTCTCGTTTTAGTGCTCAGTAGAATTGTAAATGTCATGCTCATAACTGTGCCTGAACTACAACAGGGAACTGCTGCTTTTTTCCCCCTAATCTTTACTATAGTAATTTTCCTCTATTTCTTTTGTATGTTTGACACATTCGTGTGACCCGCTATTACCGGGATGCCTTGAAAGTCGAAGCAGACTTTGTGCTGTTTAAGCTAGAGAGGTAAGCAGAGTAAGTCTGATTCCCTGTAAAGACTTACCTGTTGACATCCACCCCTTGGCGCTCATATGACCTTATACAGTTACGAGTGCCGTAAAACCTCCACTGTTGTTTTTTATGTCTGTCTGTCCACCTGGGGTCGTTCCTCCCGATTTCGGTCTGTCAACCCAACATGCATATCTAATATCTATCGGTTCACCCGATACCCGTCCGTCTGTCGACCCGATACCTGCCTGTTTGTTCACCCGATAGGTCTGTGTTCCCTTCATGAGCAATCTGATCCATTTCTCGTTCATACCCCC